GAAGACACACACTCACTCACACATAGGATGCATGAACACAACAGACTCCGCGGTATAGATAGATATGAGGCAGGATAGGTGTGGAGACAGCTTGATCTCTCGTGTAATTTAAGGGTTGTGGACAAGAACCCAGATTGGTTGGAAGGACAGGTGATTCATCTCGTAGCTGACGGAGATGCACTAAATTTACAAATGACTATCAAATTAGCAAATACAACATCTGCATGCTGGGAGTGCAAAGGAGACAGTGGGATGACAAAATGCAGCGACCATCTGTGTGGGAGCAGAGATTGTGAGACTCATCATTGTGCATGTGTTACAGCGAGTATTCTCATGCAGATTCCAGGCCTTCCCTTTGCAGCAATGTGTAGGCACAATGGCTGGTAGTATTCTCTTCTGAGCCTCTGATAGGCCCTGTGTGGGCCACGCTTGCGAAACCAAGCCCCGCATTCATCAGAAATGATGGTATACAAGCAAAATAGGGGAAATTGAGGAAAAGATATATTAAAAGGCAACAGCTCAGTTTAGATCATTTCTTGGTGACAGAGTGTTCACTGTTATAACGTTAAGTTCCCAAGTCCACATCAGCTCTACAGTGTTGAAAAAAGGAGGAAAGGAGGGCTCTGTAACCCTATCACTCTCTTATTGGTGTTGTGGATCTGGGACAGGAAACCACTCAAGGCATGAAGCCACTGGGAGCAAGAACCACAGATAATGACTTATTAGCAATTTCAAGCTAAATGTAGAATACTGGTAGAACTTCACTGTCATGGTTCCTGTTATACTTCTTTGTTTGGTTTTGTTTCGAGATTCTCTTGCAGTGGTATTTTCTAACACTAAGAAGTGAAGTTAGTTATTTCCTGTTTTTACTTTGACGGCATGTTTTATTATGTGTCCTCTTGTGATACTATTTCTTCCTTTCCATCCTCCATGACTGCCTGTCCCACTGTCTTAGCTTCACGTATTTATTTCCCACCTATGCCTAATCACCAGTCACCCAGTGTGTATGTGTGTGCATGTACTAGTCCCTTGTTTACCCTGTTTTGTGTAGCCTCTCTAGTGTTCCTGTACCAGGTTCTTGCTTTGTGTTTCTCAGTTTGTTGCATCAGCTTATAAAGGCTCATTTCTGTTTTAGGTTGGCTGACTCCTGGTGCTTTTTAAATACTACTTCTGAATCCCAACGGAAATGATTTTTATTGGACTTCCTAAACCAATAGCTTAGTCAATATCAGCATGCAACATGCACAACTGTGCGGCAGATGGCGTAAACAAATGTGCCGTAAACAAATGTGGTGTAAAAACACACTAACTGAGCACAGGATCTTCTTGCAAAGTCTGAAAAGAGACAACAATCTGCTTTCCTCTCCTGGTCTCCCAGCCTTTTTCAGTACGTGACGTATGCAGGCTGTGAATGACATCACACCCCCGTGGAGTCGAGTCCACACATGGTACTTCAGTTTTAGTCAGATTGCACACACAGAACCACATGCAGACAAGTGGTAAGCAGGGTAGTTGGCAGCCCCAACGATGCATGAAAGCAAGCTGCTCGGAGGAAGCTTCCTGTACGTGCTTAGTGGTTGACCAATGACAGCAAAAGAAGTGAAATAGGAGAACATAATTAACCAGAAGGAGACAAGATAAGAGATTTTTTTTCATCTCAAAGCTGTAAAGAAATACAGATCCTAGCTATTTTATAGCCTGTAAGACAACAGGTATTAGTAAGACACTGGGGCATAAAGTAGAGATCTACCTCCCTAAAAATACCAGATAATTATGCTGGTATAATGGCCTGCATATCCCCAATGGAAATAGTCTGATTAGACCAGCTGCAGAGATTTTCTAATTAGGCCTTGTGATTTTTTTTTCATATAAGAAAAATCATTTTGTGCTGGATCTATATTCAATTTATAGCAAATGTAACCCACTCACTCTAAAAAAAATGTAACAGTGAGTCTGATAGCATCTAGATAGAAGTGTGCTTTGGATATTTCATGGCCGATGAGTCTCCTCTTCAAAAGCAATGTGCACAGACCAGAGGATCACTTCACCACGTCACCTTGGTTACGGCATAATCAATATGACACACCGTATCCATATGTCTCCCAGGCGTCTGATGTGCACAGGTGGACGTTAGCAGAGTTTCCTGTGTGACCCAGTCCCACTGAGGGAAACAATATCTGGAGGAGGAGACAGTGGTCTGAAGTCACTTATTTAACCTGGAGAACATGTTCCATAAGCTGTTTTAAAGACGGGTAATCATGAGGATCAGGAGGATGGGAGGACTCCAGCTTCACTTTCACTGCATGCTGGAAAGTAGCAGCTTACTAAACTTAGTCTCTGTTATATGGTGGAAAGATGTGACAAGACCAATAATGGAACTGGGGCTTATATTTTTCAGTGAGCTGATTTAAATATCCTTAAGTGTAATAGCCTGCAGATGAGTCGTCTTATGCCGACACGCACTCTTGCTCAACCAAGCGTTTAAACCTGTGAAACAGCGGGTCATTAAGCAAAGCTTGTGATTGCAGTGGGAAATAATGACAGTGATTATATCAGTGGAAATCCTTGGCATAAGTGAGGTTGTGATTAAACCGGTTATTTTCAGGTTCTCTAAAACTGATATCCATCCTTTCAAGAGTCGCCCTTCAATTTAAGTCACACTAATAATGGTGTGACGTTTCGCTGAAGCATTTCCTAAAGTAATAATACACTCCAAAGGACAGGTCTGGTTAACAACTTGTTGTATGTAAGAGTAGAAAAAATGCACATATGTGGTGTTCTGATCAGTACTGAGTGCAGCTGTGGAGGCGGGTGCTTCTTGGGCTCCAGAACTTCCTGCTGAGCTTGCTGCAGGTGCCCTGGGCCAAATTTAACTTCACATCTGTGAAGGGAGGAGCCACGTTGAAAACCCTCTTTAACGCTACCTTCCTTTAACACTGAAGTGAAACTGCAAATTGCAATTTACTCCGCTAGATCAGAGCACGACAGGGGGACGAAAGGAAAAAAACTACTGTGACTTCTTAGAAGAGCAGCCAGCAGTCCTATTGAACGTTGAGATACTTTGCTCTGATGGCTACAATGAGAACAAAAAACAACTTATTTCACACATTCGACAATTATGTCAGCACAAAGGCCAATGTTTTATGTGTTCTGCTACAACCTGAGAGAGCACAGCTAGTCAGGTGTTGTCAAGTTCTTTAAAACACATTAGAATTAATGACGTGTTGTTGAAAGAGACTGCAGATTAAAATATGTCTTCTCTTAACACTGAAACAACAAAGTCAAGAGTTTTAAAATGTGTCCCAAACTGGAATTTGAAATGCCTTTGACATATGAGGCCCCGCAGATATCTGTCATTTTTTCTTTTCCCCTTGATTTGGCTGCAGGATTCAAGACAAGGACATCTGCTCCCTCATCAGAGAGGTGCCCCACTTCTGAACAAATGGACTGCCAGTTGTAATTTCTCCACTGTTCATTCACCCTTAAATAGTGTCTCGCTCCTTTATCAATGTGATGCATTGCTCACATAAGGATCAAGGTGTACCTTATCTTTTGTCCTTTCGAGCTACACCAGGCAAGACATTTAGGTAAAGCCTATCAGGCCAAATCAAAGTGGGGGCAGTGAAGCAGAGGTGTCATGATGAAAACAAACATATTATATAGAAGAATGAAGAATTGTTCTTAAAGGAAGACTGAGCGCTCTGACAGCACTGTACTCTTCTATTCACCTCTGAGTTCAATTCTAGTCTATTTATATAGCGCCAAATCGCAACATGAGTCACCTCAAGCTGCTTTATTCTGTAAGGTGGAGACCCTACAATAACAGAGAGAAAACCCCAACTTATGGGCAAGCACTTGGCAGCAGTGGGAAGGAAAAACTCACTTTTAACAGGAAGAAACCTCCAGCAGAACCAGGCTCAGGGAGGGGCATCAGCTGGGAATGGTTGGGGGTGAGGGGAGAGAGACAGGACAAAAGACTCGTGGAAGAAGGGAGCGAAGAATTAAACGTAACTAATGATTCTCCCTTCTCCCTGTACACCAACTGCTGCACCTCCACCCACCAGTCTGTCAAGCTAATCAAGTTTGCAGATGACACCACCGTTATTGGGCTCATCTCGGACGGGGATGAGTCTGCCTACAGGAGGGAGGTTGAACGTCTGGTGTCCTGGTGCAGCCACAACAACCTGGTGCTGAATGCCCAGAAGACAGTGGAGATTATTGTGGACTTCAGGAAGCACACAGCCCCACTCCCCCCCATCATCCTGACTGACACCCCCATCACCTCTGTGGACTCATTCCGCTTCCTGGGTACCACCATCACCCAGGACCTGAAGTGGGAGCCCACCATCACCTCCGTCATCAAGAAAGCCCAGCAGAGGATGTACTTCCTGAGGCAGCTGAAGAAATTCAACCTGCCAACACGGACGATGATGCAATTCTACACTGCAATCATCGAGTCCATCCTCACCTCCTCCATCACCGTGTGGTACGCTGGAGCCACTATCAGGGACAAACAGAGACTGCAGCGTGTTGTGCGCTCTGCTGAGAAGGTGATTGGCTGCAGACTCCCATCTCTGCAGGACCTGTACACCTCCAGGACACTGCGGCGTGCAGCTCGGATCTCAGCTGACCCTTCTCACCCTGGACACAGTCTGTTTGACCTGCTCCCCTCAGGCAGGAGGCTCCGGTCCATTCGCACCAGAACCTCTCGCCATAAGAACAGTTTCTTCCCCTCTGCTGTTGGACACATGAACAATAACCATATGACTGTTCCCACCACTAACACATGACCCTACGCTGTGTCACTGCATCATTCCATGTTTGGCACTGATCACCACCTGCACTCATATATATATCTATCTATTAGCACTTTTAATTCTTATTTTTATGTTTATTTAAGCGTTATATGACAGTATGTTTGCACTGAAGCACCGCAGCAATTTCCTAATGTTGTAAACCTGCTCAACATTTGGCAATAAAACCCTTTCTGATTCTGAGCAGAGTTTTGTATAAACACAGAGTGACAAAGAGATGAGTGAAGAAGAAATAGTGCATTGCGGGAAGCCATTTTCTGTCCTAATGCTAAGTATGGTGACTAACTGCTTGTTTACCCTTTGCAAAAGAGACAGTGTTAAAATTGTCACTGAACTTTCTACAGAAAAGACATGAAACTTATTTCTATGATGAATTAACCGTTACTAAATCCATCATCATGAGGCACTCTGAGAAAACAAAGATCATAAACAGGAAGGTACAAACATGCCATCTACCCAGCTACAGTGTTTGCTTTTTGTTTTACTTCAGCGATAACCCATGACATGTTTATCTGCACCATTCTAACGCAGCAATAAATTCTTGGAGTCGGTTAACTAATTTCAGTTACACAGCAATAACTTGAATGCTGTATTTTGACATGTTCTTAAATTTCCCAATTTAGGATTCTGACACCACATAGAAACCCAATATAGAGCTGTAGTGCATGTTTTTAGTATTCAGAGCTATTTAATTTATGAATGACCCGCTACAAAAAAGAATGTGTACTGTCAAAGGTTGCACAGTCTCACTTTGAAGTTATGTTAGCAGAAGTTCTTTATGCAGATATCCAAGTAACATTTCATAAAATAAATACCAAAAATTCTCGAAAAGATCCAAAAGAGTACATTTTAGTCACACTGGTATGAAACAGCACGTCATCCTATTGTGGAATTTTTTGGACATTCCAGTTTCTTGATTTGTCCTGAACACTGATTCAAGCCGCTACCACACACATGCAGAAACAATGACCGCAGTCTACGGTCAAAATCCAGTCCCACAGTGACATGGCACTGTAAAGCATGTTTGGCTTATTTTTTTCCCCCGACTGGTGGAGGGAGCTGGGAGGGTGTCTGGTAGGGAAGTTCACCTCATGTGATTAACTGCTGGTTGCTAGGTGACAACCCTGGAAAGGAGCCATACATGTAGCAGCCAGGATTTGAGCTCATCCATCGTGCACCTCCGAACCAACCGCTGCTGTCCAAACCACCGCCTGTACACACAGCCGGTTGCCATGGGGATTCCAGGGACATTGACTCAAAATAAAATGACATGAGTCATGATTTTGAAGACCGATTGTTTTTCTTCTTACACTCTGTTCTTTTTTTTTTGTTTTTTGTCTTTTTTTGTTTGCACTGACAGTGGAATCTAATTTTTCAAAAAGGCAAAACAAAGAAAAGACCAGAAGAATTCTAAGGACTTGACCTTAAACTAAAGACATAGCAGATGCTGCACACACGAGTTATACAAATGATATATAATATGATGTATAACTTTGTACACTCTTCTCTTTTATGTTACATATGCACAATTACTCCTTTTCTGCATTTCTCTGTTAATGTTGAGTCCAAGGCCACAGGCTCAGCAGCATCCAGACACTTTGCCTGGCTATTTCTGACTACATGCTACATGTTAGCATCTGCTGTATAACACTGGACATTTGTACTGTGTTACTGGAGTCAGACAGGGGAGGTGTCAGACATGTTGTGTATTTTTTTTTATAATACCCAAAGTTTAATTTAGCACATTTTAAAAATGCTTTAAAGCTGGGGTGTTTTTCAAATGTCCAGACTGATGCAAGGGATCTTCTCATCCAACTCTTTGGAAGAAAAATATTAGAAATCCAAATGACTCCTTTAAGTTTGAATGTGGATCAGATTAGGCTCAACGAACAGAAAGAATTCCAGGTAACCCTAAGAGAGGAAGGAATATAGGTTGATACGGCACTTTGCTTCTCCACTGGGTGACACGAAAACCAATCAACTTGACAGCGGTCTCCAATTAACAGAAGACTGCCACTCCTTCCACCACCACCACCACTGCCGCTGGTCTTTCTCAGCCCCACTGTGGCTGGAGTACTGGTCCCATTTCTGGATGAAACATGGTCTCCATCCTAATTAACCCAGATGTGGATATTAATAAGATGAAAGCAGGTCTAGACTAGAAATGGGGCAGATTGAGAGAAGGTTCTGATTTCAGAATGGTCACACTTAAGTGGGACACCTTGCCCCCCCTCCGACAGGGGAATAAGGTCTGTTTCTATATAAACTATACCCCGCGGCTCTTTTTAATTGGTCCCACTTCTCTTGAGGTTTGAGTGCTATGAGAAGCTGAGGATATCTATGAAAGGTGGCTGTGTAGCACAACGACAACAGAGACATGTCAAGCAGATGGAGACAAATGACAATTATCACCTTTTATGTGAGTTTTTCTTTTTGGAATAAAACATCTCACGTCTTTACTTGCACTGAGCTCTACCAGAGGTTCCAATCTTGATCCTATGTGACTATAAAAGGAAACCTATTAAACATCATTCTTTCACACCTGCCAGTGCAAATGACTTCACTACTTCTTCCAGAATCATGTATGGTGTGAGAAATGGGCCAGGACAGGACAATAACTATAAGACTGTAAATCACCTGGGAACAAGCCTGTCCTAATACATGAAATAGATTATACAAGTGAAAGAACAGATAAGAATGTCAGCAAGAATCTAATTGTTCTTGTTTTCATTGCATCATCTCGCAGTTAGTGGGAGACGGCATTAAGACAGTGGCAGGTCAGCAGACACTCAGGGGACCAAACAGGAAGGAAGCAGAGATGGGCACAGACATGACTCATCCAGCTCATTGTGTTCATGGAGCCACCAACATGCTGCGTTGTCTTGTGCTAACAAGCAGCTGAATTAATGAAGATTTTAAGAACACAAAGACATGAATTAATAAGCATCAGAACAAAAGAAAAGAAAAGCTGAAGGTCTCTTGTTTTACAGTAATCTTTCCCCAATGTTCATGATAATTTCAGCTGAGAATGGATAAATCCAGAGGAAGGAATTGTGTGCAGTTGTTGGAACCACAGCGACACACTTTCTTCTGGAGTCCATCTGTCCTCCTGGCCTGTGCATCACTTTGCATGGGCAGCAGCTCTGCAGGACGCTGGTTACTGTATCCTCCTGAGTAGTCGAATGTCAGCTCCTCCTGAGCTTCAATGTCCCGTCCAGCAAAAAGCGCCAATCTGGGAATTACAGAGTGCACACGCACTGGCACCATGACCAGATTAGGCATGCAGGAGTGGTTGAGAAAGCGACCCACGTTTCCCACCTGGGCGGGGTCCACAAACGTCTCAGTGACGGAGCCCGTGCCCGCGTGCTCCCTTACAGCGATAATGTAATTATTTTCTTCAGATCTCTGGGCAAGCTGTCGGCGCCTGGCCTCCTCAAAACTGATCACCTCCCCTGCATACTCACATACAAATGCCCCGTGTGAGATTTTCTCTAGTGTCCGGACTCCCCAGCCCCTGTCCTGGGTTTTGTACACTTGCAACCTAAACCGCAGCCCTCTCTGCACCACCCGGTTAGAGCAATCGTCACTGCAGGTGCAAAGGGCATTACACTCAAATACAGGTGAGCAGAAACCCGAGTCTGTTCTGTTGAGGTTGAGCAGCGTGCCTGTGCTGTCATACGTCTGGCCATGGGTCTGCAGGCAGGAACAGCTGTCAATGCAGCACGAGTGGGAAAGGCAGGAGCATCCAGGAAGGGTAACTTCACTGGGGTCTTCAGTGGATCCTGGCCCCTGAACGTTATCTGGAGAGTACTGAAAGACAACATAAAGATACAATGAGCGTTGCAATTTAAAAAACAAAACAAAAAACAACAACAACTTGTGGAAATTGTGTAAAACAATACAGATGAAGAAGACAATCCACAGATAGTAATCAAATTCTTTTGTTTTTTTTTGGACAGTTTGTTAAAGCATACAAGACTTTTAAGTATCTGAAAACTGTCAACCTCCATTAACAACCACATCCACACACACAATCATAATATGTCCTCTGGAGCATCACGAGTAAAGAGTTGAAGTTTAGGAGGCAGTTATTTCTTGTACTGCGTGTTGGTAATGTGGCTGTGATGATTTGCTGCCATCTGTTGGTAAAACAATGTGTTGCATTTAAAAGTGTTAAAAACCACCAGGATTTTAGGAGGTTTTTGACACTGAGAGTTTTCTAGATCACTCGGTTACTTTTATACTCATCTTTTAAATGGCATAAATGAATTACAGCATTGTTTCTGTTTGTTTGGTTGATCCGTTTACACAGCATTAGTCTTTTTTTGAAACTCTAAAATAACATAACATTGGTATCAACACTCAAAATCATATAAATGAGAGTTACACTGGTGACCTGGAGCAGCACCACCATACACCTCTTTGGCATGCATCTACTTTATGTCCATGTTTGCACAGGGCATGAACAGAAGGTAGAGAGAGGAGCTGTGATTCAAAGTCCACTCTCACTGCACGTCAGTTTTAATTTGTGATCTCAGTTTGAGCTGTCATCGAGGCCACGGCCACAAAGTCAATATTAGGGGAGGGGAATTGTAGAAGTAATTCCAGTGTTGGCAAAGCAGTTCATTTCACATTCAAAATGCACTACAACTACCAAAACACTTTATTCAGGTCTCAAATAAACTCATTCTTCCAGAACACTAGCAAAGGTTGACAGCCGACAAACACACTTTGTCACCCACAAAACAATGACCTAAAAAACACTAACAACATGTAGCATTACACAGTGTTTTCTTGTGTAAAACAAGGACACATCTCTGTTTATAATTTCAATATATGTTACTGGAATGAATCAGACATCATGCAGAATTCGTTAATATTTGTTTATGTATTTTTATTTTTTTGCACTAAGTAATCCCAAAATACAAGAATTTGTATACACACCATCCACTGATACACATACAATAGTAATGCTAATCTACTCGGTCTTCTCCATTTGGCCACAGGTTCTCATCCACATCACATCTTATGTCATCTAGGGCAATACACCTAGGAAAGAATCTTCTGGCTGCCAGAATTGAAGGAGTTGAAAAATTGAAGGAGTAACACCTGTGTAGATGTTCATCTACAATGAGAATCAGCTGTGGCTGGTTAAACTGCATTTTTAGATTTAAAATATGTTTCAATAAAATATTGCTGTTGGATTTTGCTGTCTTTTCAAGTTTTGCATTGTGTTATTGTTTTGGCCATAAGTTTAACAGTTTTGAAAACAGTATGTAAGCACATGCAAAATGTCCTGTACGTACAAAGATTTTTGGCAGTTGTTGTGTCTGAGTGAGAAGATAATTCATGAAATTTGAGAGATGTAGTCATTGAATGCATTTTGTGCCAAAACAATGATAACTGGTCCTCAGTTTAGCCCACATAGACTTCTGTTGTGCTCACTGTGTGAGGAGTTTTGCAAACGTGACCTAAGTATTGAGAAATGTGTCCTAGCGTCTGTAAAAAACTGTAAGTGACAGGCCACGTCACTAAGTGCTGAGGATCATAGTGTATAAAAGTTGCCCAGGCGGTTTTGGCCCAGTGGTTTTGTCCATATATTGTACAGCTAAGTACTACTTATTTATAGTTACATATCCACAGGACAGTTAATCTGAGAGGTTTTAAAAAGCTTTTTATGTTATGTTTTTTGTGTTCCCACCAAGTTTAATTAAAAATTCCGATGTCCCATGATTAATCTAAACACCACTAGGAAAAATAGTAGTTGGCCTGTAGCGTCTCTGTTTGTCTTAACTTACAACACGTTTAATTAAAGTTTTAGTGTCACCACATTAATAAAAAGGCAAGAACTACTTCTATTTTAACCACCCTTACACTAAGCTAGCTAAACATAGAGGCTAAAATATCGGTGCAGTGTTTTGAAATGCTCAAACGTGTTCAAATAGAGAGAAAAGCGAGTTAAAGTATCGTTACCTGAAAAGTATGAAATGCCAGTCCTTCAAATAAAACGGGAACCTCCTCCAGACCTCGACTCAGATCACCGCCGTGCGCGTCAGTCACATTCATTCCTGTAGCTGCCTGAAACAGCGAATCTGCTACAGATGTCAACAAACCAACTTCCGGTGGCTTCATTAGCAACTTTCGCCCTCTGGTGGTGGCATTACCACAGATTAGTTTGATCGAGCCTTTTTTTGGGCAGCTGAAGAGGAGAAGTCTATCTTATGGCCAACCTCTGGCTGTATCTTGGTCACATTACCCAGCAAACCCAGTATGCAGGTTCATGTGTAACAGTCCTTGTGCCACGGATCAACACTGTTCCATCTACTTTAGACAGAAGAGCAGCGACATGGCTGCAGGTCTCTGCGACTCCGGCCATGCAGCTGCAGCGGGCGGCTTCAACCTTCCCTGTGATGCTCACAGTGACCCATGGCTGCAATGCTGGTTCATTCAGTCTTAGAGTGCAGCACCTGAAACACACACAAAGTTCATTTAAAGACAAGAACTATGAGCCAAGGCCGACACAAATGTGTTTTATCTACTTTATCATAAATGTAAAAAGTGTTTAGAAAGTTAGCACAACATGTCATTTTTCATTTCTTTATGTGTCCATCTATAGAACGCTGCAGGTTATAGTCTAAATCTGCTGTTCTGTCAGAAACCTGCCTGCAGAAAATGAACCTAAAGTATGTAATGCAAGGATGTCATCACTTAGAGATGGAGAAAGCATAAAGTGACAATTATGAATCACTTAATATGATAAGGAGATTCTGCAGGTCATTGATCAATATATAAAACTAAAATAAAATGTATTTTTAGTGACACAAGATACAAATATGGAAGCAAGATGTGTAATTAGGATTATTTATAATAAATATGAATAAAACATTGCAATTTCTTTAACCATAAAGAATAACTAAATGCTTCAGGACAATGTCTCATCAATGCACTGAACTCACTATGTTATCCCTCTAACAGCCTCCACATGTTCTCACTGTAATTTCCCCTCATGAATGAATTTATGCTGCACTAATGTGAATGTTTGCAGGGAAATCAAACACATTTTACACGCAGTACTCGAGCTGACTTACCTTTGTTTGAATGACCACTTGTACGCGCTGACTCCACAGACAAGGTATGAAATATGTCAGGCTACGTCAATAGCGGTTGGTCTTCAGGGTTTCTACTCCACGGCCGTATTTCATACGGGTCCACATTTCCACTGCAGCTATTTTCTGCAAGTACCGCCGCTTCGCCTCTGGACGCAATCGGTCTCTATACAGTCCATTCTCGTTTGAGCAGCTTTTAAGCATCTTGTAATCGTCGTTCCAACACAGTGTGTTTGTTTTGATTCGTAGACCCCGAAAATGCCGCCGCGCTCCCACAATGCATTGCGGCGTGACGTCAACTCCGAAGCCCTATTGACCAGCTGGACAAGGACACTTATTTTTCCACGTGAAAATGAAGAGTTCAAACACAAAATCAATCAGTTTTATGACATTTTTTTTCTTATTACTGAGAAGAAAAAAAAACTTCTTTCCGTCTTTGGTCTTCAGTTGTTCTTGCATCCTTTGCACTTCATCCTACAGTTGCTTCCAGTATTGCCTGCAGATGGCAGTATTTCATCAGGAAAGCACTAGTATGACTCTTTTGAGTCCTCGTTTCCAACACATTTGCAAGAGAGGAAAGCACTTGTTTTAACAGAAGCCAAACATTTTAAAGTACATTTAAAGTGCTGAATAACTTTATGTGCTTAATGTGCTATACCTTCTGTTTTCTGCGATGGGACTTTTCATCTGCATCCTCATCTTCCATCTCTTCAACCATGCAGAGATTCCATGTTTAACCTTTCTGTGGTGTTACACTGGCATGTGTAATTGATATGCAGTGCTTTATTCTGTGGTGGTTATCAGAAGCAGATGGAGGGAGGTCACATTGTCAGCTGGCATTTCCATGGTGCACACAAGTGACCGAGGATTTTCCTTTGAGAACCAGCCTTCATCTTTGTCCTTGGGCGAAATTAGTGCTGTCAGTAAGCCTGCATCAAGAGTTGGGACTGCATATTCAATCAACTGAAGTGAAATGCAAGCTTTTGACAATAAACTAATTGACAAATTGACTAAGTGGACAACATGAGGGACTGACAAATATAAAAGCTTTTGAAACATGTACCATGAGATCTCTTTTACCTGTTTATTTGTGCAAATTGTAAAATCTGTCAATTTGATCAGTTCTATTGAACAGATTTAGAATTCCCCTTAATTATCCAAAATACATGAGTTTTCATCCATTTGATCTCTATGAGGTCATGCAATGGCAAGTGCTATTTTGGTCCAGTGTGCAGAATTTAGAAGAATATATTGGCAGAAAATTAATTTAATATTCAGTTAAATTTTTATTAGTTTGTAATCACCTGAGAATGAGAATCACTGTGTTACTCTTACCTCCGAATGAGTCCTTTCTTTCTAAGGAGGGAACAGGTTCTCTTCTTTTAGTCGACTGTGTTGCACTGCCGTGTTTCTCAAGTACCCAAGAACAGACAAACCAAACCAAAGAGGCCCTTTTGCTTTTTCAGTGGTGGGCAAGCATACATTGTGGAGTATAAATGAATGGTTGTGGTTAAAAAAAACCTCACTGATAGATGCTGTAATATAACACTTATTTTGGTATGATGTACCAAATGCGGTCCAAGGAAAGCCAAGCCTGTGGAAAGGTTGTAAAAACAGAGCAGAGCATTTGGGACTGCAGACAAATGCTAGTCAAGTGTCCACACTGACTGTATTTCAAGAATAAGGCGGTAGTGCAATATTCTGCTGGGAGATTTTTGTATATTACCATGATACCTACTGTCTACATGACCATGAATACTGTCTTATGGAAGGGGCGTTTTGCTGCAGGATAATCTGCTAGGTTGCACTGCAGATGCTGTTCCGGGATAGTCTGAAGAACATGACTAAGAGCTCTAAGAGTGTTTATTATCCTCCATATTCCCCACTGCTTGGATACGCTGGAAAAGCAAGTTTGATCCACAAAGACCCCACTTCGCAACTTACAGGACTTATAGGATTTGCTACAAACACCTTTGTGTTTGACACTAAAAGAGATGCTGAAAAGGCCACAGTGCAGTGGATCAGAGCAGTGCTCTTACAATTAATTTTAAGTGGCACAATTGTTAGCTTGTTGCTGTTTAAATAATGCAAAGGCTAAGAAAAAACGTTTGACTAAATGGTGAAAATCAGGGAATTACAAAGTCATAATTCGTCCTCTGAGGAACTTTTTGACTGTATTCCACCACTTTTTCATTTGGCTGCTGTCAGCATCAATGATGATCGAATTATGTGATCACTTTTGTTTTTTTTCACTTTGTAGGCTGATAGTTTTCAACTCTGCTTACACACTGTGGCATTCATTCATTCCTAAAGCACTACCCAGTCCTAACCAGTACAGATATCAGCATGATTTTTTTTCTTCTGTTCTCAAAATGTCCCTTTTAATTTTTTTTTGAGCAGTGTATATAGGGCGCATAGTCTGATGCCCTAATTAAACAACAAGCTGTATATCTCCAAGCTTACATTTGAAAAATGTTGCTTTTAAATAATTAAATATGAATGTGGTATTTTTTTTCTCTCTCACATCCAGAGGAGGACATAATATGACTTGGCATTGTGGTTGTACTTGTGCTGGTTTATAAAGGAGTGAAACAGCTTCACTTGTTCCAGATGAGGCAGGTTGATGGGGGTCCGTGGTAGGCGCCATTGTTCGGGATCCTTTGATTTTAATGAGAACACACACGCGTCCCAACACAAAGGAGCCGAGGCTGGACCGCAACTGGTTCGAGAGTTAATGAACCAAAGGCTTGAAAAGAGCATGTTCTCCGGGGAGATTATCAACCACGGTGAGGCACTCCCTCTGATACTGTGCTGATTGACTTGGCCTCAAATTGGCTGCGATCCTTCTTCCAGATTGCGAGGAAAGCTGTGCCGTGGCCTGGCCTGCTGGATGCCCTGTTGTCGACTCTGACAGTGGAGAACAAAGAAATTTTCAAAGGTTTTCCTCATCTGTCTGTGTCAGCGCGAGAAGGCGTGATTATGACAAGCTGACCCGAGAGGTTTCAAAGGGGCTTCTTCCAACTGCTCCTCCAAGTTACTCAGAGGCCATCAAAGGCAGTGAAGCAAACAGGGAAAGCGGCGTGTTTGGATCAGTCGCAGAGGCAGTTGGGAGAGTCGTGTTTGTGTTTTCGGATTTGGGTGGTTGAAAACAGGTAACTTCGGGTCGCATTCACGCACCTTTTAGCTGTAATCCCACGAGACTTCGATGTGCCTTCCTCTGCTGCCAGGCAACAGCAGTTACAATGTGTTTCACTCAAATGGCAAGATTTTGCAAAACCAATTAAGCAAGGAGTCAGAGGAGTTCATCAGCCTCCTGAGGCAAGCTTCATATTTAGCTCTTCACTCCGAGTTTGAAGAATGAATAAAGTTAGTGAGAAGTTTACAAGAAGACAATAAGTTAGACAGAGCTCCAGGTTTTGATTGAAACTTTTTTGTTTTTGCAGGCATCTGAAAGACGCACAAACAAGATGCTCCTGTCACCCTAAATTACAGTCAAGACCTGCTATATTAAGAATGTCGCAGGCCAAAATGATTAAAACTAGTTAATAAATAAATAAAATTGGCCTTTACTAAAACCCTCAATACTGTCAGCATTAAATAAGAGAAAATCTTGGTCTAAGTTAAATACTGAATACTTTCTCTGTTTACAGAATACTGGACCTGTTAATGAGGCAGTGGTGTCAAACTTGTTTTAGTTCATTCACATAAAAGTCAAAGTGATCCCAGATGTGTCGGCCTAGTAAAGTAATGAAAAAGTGAAAAAGTAATGTCCTAAAATCTCATGCCAACCCTCATTTCTTTATATTTTGTTAGAACGATTAGAAACCGATGCCGTGAATTATTGAAACGTGCAAACATACCAGGAAATAAAATATATAGGGTAAAACAGAGTTTTTAAGAGTGAATATTTGGTATGACCGCCTTTATTCATCATCACAGCCCGGACTTTCTTGTTGTTTCTATAGGTAGTCTTCAAGAATAGTTCCCCAGGTTTCATGAAGAGCATTTGAGATTTCAAGATGATCCTACACTTCTTGAATAAGTTTGAGT